ACGACTTCAGCAGGGCGCACTGACCAAGGAAAGGGGAGCAAGAGAGAAAAATAAATAGCAAAAAAAGAAGAAAAAACACGTACCTTTGATTTGTTGCAGGTCCTGCTGCAGCCGCCGCCATCTCTGCGAGTCAATGTTGTGTTGCTGCAGCTGCTACTACGGAGGTTACCAGCTCCGCCGCCGCCCAAGGGGGAAACTTCTGGAGGGACACGCACCCAGCTTCCGCTCTAAGTAGCCAACGAGCAGCCACGCTGCCGGCGTGCAGCGGAGGGAGAGGACCGGAAGGGAGCATAGGAGGGGAGGGAGGCAGAAAGCAGGCGCGGGGCTCGCCGGGACCTCGGAGGACAGAGTCTCCCGGCCCAGCCCGCTTCCGGTGACCAGCACGCCTAGTCCCCGCCCCTCGAAGCCTTGGTTGTACGGAAGCCTCGGCCGGCCCCCTGAGGCCACGCGCCGGGACTCTGACAGAGGCCTCTGGGTTCGTAGCTTAAAAAAGGGCTTTGGTACTATACTGTCATCGCTCGGGAACGTGTGGCGTTTGGGGGCGCTTAAATGCCTGTTAGTAACAAGCCACATTCGCGCTCCATTGTCACGTCCACCACACTCTCATAGTTACTGGAGACTGATAAGCCTTTCGTGCCCCGTGAAGTCATTTGCTGTTCTGTGAAAGTTCCCGGATGGTAGCGGGTCACTCCGGATCCAGGCGCTGGGAACCCTGAAGAACTCGCCGGAAGTCGTTGTGCCCCGCAGAGGCTAGCTAGACAGACACAAGGCTTTTGGTTCCGGTGCGAAGGGGGAAGGGGAGGGGGGGGGAATGCACGCCGCAGGCGAAGGTTTCCTTCCCAGTTAGCTTCCCAGATTAAAAAAAAAACGAAAACAAACTTGTTCCTGCGGAAGGCACGGAAAGGAAGAAGGTGGGCTGAAGTCTCAGTGCCGCTTTATTTCCAACCTAGTCGCTTAGGCTCTCCCTCCCCGTCTTTGTCCCTGGCAGATCAGGTAGAAGAAGCTTCCAGCAAGGACTCCGGCCAGGGGTGGGAGGAGCAAGGGGGAGTGGGAGCAAGCAGCTCAGCCAGTAGAGATAAACAAGTAAACGAACGTGAGTGTTCTTACACTAAGGTGATCAGGCATCCCGCTTCGGGCGGGACAGTCCCGATTTTTAACAGTTTGTCCCGCGTCCCACAGCTTTTTTGAAAAAGTCCAAAAGATATAAAAGATTCTTTCCAAAACTCGGGACAAATTGTTAAAAATCAGGACGTCTGGTCACTATCTTACACCCAAAATCTAAACTAAGCCTTAGGATTCAAAACTGTTAATGCGCTCCACAAACTTAAACCAAAGCTATTCTAAGCGGTAAAATGAAAGAAGGGAAATAGTCATGTCATAGCAAGGTGGCTCATTTAGGGGAATATTAGATATAGGCATGGATTTCTCAAAGATGTGGAATCCTGTGAGCCTCAAAAGATGAATTAGAATTAATGGAATTGGATAAGATTTGTGTTATAAACTATAATGTGAACTCTGTTTCAGGTGGGGGTAGTTGCTGGCTCAATCCCCGGTTGAGTTCCATCCCCAGTAGGGGGCCTGCGGGAGGCAGTCCAGGGATGATTCTTTTTCATCATTGATGTTTCTATCTCTCTCTTCCTTCCTCTCTGGAATCAATAAAAAACTTTTTCAAAAAAGAATAATTAAAGGGATTCCCTCTGCCCCACCGCCGCCCAGGAGGCTGGAGGGTGGGTGAGGAAGGGGAGAATGATTAAAGGGAAAATGAGAACAGCTGTTGGGAGACCACTGCTGTTTTACAGGGGTGGGGAAGTGGGGGAAATGCCCCTTTCTTTCCTCTAGTTCTTCTGGCTGGCCAAATCAAATTAACAGGAAGCAGATTGACAAGAGGAAATCAAATTTAATATTATGTGCATGGGAACACCACATACAATGAGAGACAGGGACTATGCATACCTGACAGATTCAGAGATAGGAAGGAGGATTGAGGTATATAAGACATCCTGAGCTAGGGATGAAATAAAGTGCTTTGGGGACTTCAAAAGATTATTGCAGGATGATAAAAGGAGACATTCAGTAATTAGTGGTTTGCCCTGACCTATACTAGATAGCTCAAAATAAGTTATTTCTGTTATAGTAGATAAGTCAATAGAAGTTATCTCTGATAATCTCTCATGAGCAAGGCCTCTAATTCAAATGGTGCTTGGGGGAAGAGGGCAGAATTTTCTCTTGAGCCTTAAGCTAAAATTGCCTTTACCTCAAAATAATCTGCATACCACTGCTGACATCTAACTGCTCCCCTGCTGGCCCAATTGCCCCTAACTGCCCACCCTTGCCAGCTTGGTCACCCCTAACTGCCCTCCCCTGCCTGCCTGGTTGCCTCTAACTGTCCTCCATGGTAGGCCTGGTCATCCCCAACTGCCATCCCCTGCTGGCCCAGTCACCCCTAACTGCCCTCTCTTGCCAGCCTGGTCACCCCTAACATCCCTCCCCTGCTGCCCTGGTCACCCCCAAGTGCTCTCCCCTGCAGGCCTGGTCACCCTTATCTATCCTCCCCTGCAGGCCTGCTCGCCCCCAACTGTTCTCTCCTGCAGGCCTGGTCACCCCTAACTGCCCTCCCTGCAGTCCTATTCCCCCCTCCTCAACTGCCCTCCCCTGCAGGCCTTCTTGCCCTTAACTGCCTTCCCCTGACAGCCATCTTGTGTCCACATGGAGATGGCCATATACAGTATGTGTGTTGGAGTGATGGTCAATTTGCATATTATCTCTTTATTATATAGGATTACAGTTTATGTACAATATCATATTAGTTTCAGGTGTACAACTGAATGATTGGACATAACTTACAAAATTATCACCCCAAAAATCTAGTACCTATCTGACACCATACATAGTGTCAAATTATTGACTATATCTCTTAGCTATACTGTGCATTCCTATGATTATTTTGTAACTATCAATTTGTACTTATTAATCCACTCACATTTTTCACCATTCCCCCCAGGCCCCTTCTCCACTAGTATTTGTCAAAATGTTCTCTGTATGAGTCAGTTTCTGTTCTGCTTGTTGGTTTATTTTGGGGCTTTTTAGAATTCACCTAGAAGTGAAATCATATGGCATGTCTTTCCCTACCTAACTTATTTTATTCAACACAATACCCTCTAGGTCCATCCCTGGTTTTGCAGATGGCAAGATTTCATTTTTTTTTAATGGTTGTGTTATATTCCATTGTATATATGCACCACTACTTCCTTATCCATTCACCTATTGATGAACATTTAGGGTGCTTCCACATCTTGGCTATCCTAACAAAAGAGTAATATGCAAATTAACCATCACTCTGCTATACTCACAAGCCACGCCCATCTGCCAATCAGGAGTGAGTATGTAAATTAACCCAACCAAGATGGCTGTGGCCACAGAAAGAGCAGGAGGGAGGCTTGGGTTTCCCCGGGGATGGAGGAAGCCAAGCTTTCCCCATACCCTGGATGGCCCAGGCCTCCAATCAAGGCTATAAAGTTTCAATTATAGAAGAGAAATCCCAACAGAAATGGCTGCTGCCACTGAGCGAGCAGAAGGCTTGGTTCTGCTCCAGGCTACAAAGTTTCAATTGTAGAAGGTAAATAAATCCCAGATATCAGGGCCTCCACTTGGGTCGACAGTAGGCATGGCCAACCTGCAAACCACCATAGGCCCCTCACCCATGCCACCCCAAACCCCAAGGGAACCCCAACCCTGATCCAGGACACCCTTTAGGGCAAACTAGCTGGCCCCTACCCATTCACCAGGCCTCTATCATATCTAATAAAGGAGTAATATGCAGATTCATCATCACTCCAATACACAAGATGGCTGCCCCCATGTGGTCAAAGATCCTGCCCCCATGTGGACACAAGATGGCCACCACAAGATGGCCAGCAGGAGAGGGCAGATGGGAGCCACCAGGCCTGCAAGGGAGGGTAGTTGGAGGTGATCAACCCTGCTGGGGAGGGAAGTTAGGGGTGACCAGGCCAGCAGAGGAGGGAAGTTGGGGGCAAACAGACTGACAGGGGAGCAGTTAGACATCAATCAGGCTGGTGGGCAGAAGTGGTTAGGGGCAATCAGGAAGGCAGGTAGGCAAGCAGTTGGGAGCCAACAGTCCTGGATTGTGAGAGGAATGTCTGATTGCCCATTTAGGCCCGATCCTAGTCAGACATCCCTCTAGGGGTCCCAGATTGAAGAGGCTGCAGGCTGGGTTGAGGGGACCCCCCCCTTCCCATGCACTGTGCACGAATTTCATGCACTGGGCCTCTAGTTGTAAATAATATTCCAATGCACATATCTATTGGACTTGGTGTTTGGGGTTTCTTTGGTTACATACCCAACAGTGGAATGGCTGGGTCATTTTTTGCGTTAAAAAGTCTATTTTGTCTGATATAAGTATTACTATGCCAGCTTTTTTTTTTTTTTTCCATTTCCAATTTCATGAAATATCTTCTATGCCTTGACTGTCAGTCTGTCTATATCTTTTGATCTGACACAGCATATGTAGACATCATATGTAAGGGTCTTGTTTGTTATCCATTCAATCACTGTTTGTCTTACAATTGGAGCATTTCATCTATTTGAATTTCAAATAATTGTTGATAGATATGTATATTTTGCCATTTTATTATTTATATATATATATTTTAATGTAATTCCTTCAATTTTATTCTTTTTCAAAATTGTTTTGTATTCTAGTTCCTTTGCCTTTTTCTACTTTTTTTTCCCTTTTCTTTTCTTTTCTTTTCTTTTCTTTTCAGGTTAGAATATAGCATCCTTTATTTCCCAGGCCCTTGGCCGCCATCCATTGCAGTGAGGAGGAGACGGGGCTTTCCAGCTCGGGCTCAGACCGCTGAGTGGACGGAAGCGTGTTAGGTGCCGGAGTTTCCCCTCCCCTGGCCGAGCCGGGCTGGCGCGGGGGCCGGGCGCGGCAGGGCTGGCGTGTGCTGGGCCGGAGGAAGCTGAGTGAGGCTGACTCACGGGCGGGACGGCCAGGACACACGGGGATGCGGCTCCACGGGACGCCGGGGACAGACATGGGCGACGCCTGGCTGGTGTCCACAGGCCTCTCGAGGCACTTCACCAACACGGTGACCGGGGCCGGGCCCACTCAGCCCCGATGACGGCCACACCTCTCAGCGGGACCCGCAGGCCTCTGCCCGGGCCCTGCTGACCGCCGATCGGACAGTGTCGCAACCTGTGCCCTGAGGGGCCACATGTGTGTGTTCTCCCGTGGGGAGGTGGGGCTCTGCTGGCCGTGTCACCAAAAGCCACGTGACATTGGGCCGAGTAAATGGAAGTCCCCATCCCGGGCCCTGGCCGGCAGGAGGCGGGTCCGCCCCAGACGTGGAGGGTAACAGCGAGGAAATCGCCGTGGACGTGGACTCACACGCATTACACACAGCATTGGGGAGTGGGGGGGGGGGGCGGTCTTTCGGGGGACCGTGTGACAGGTACGAAAGAAAGAGAAGCAAAAGAAAACATTCAGGAGTCCATGTGCTAGGGACACGGAGCACGGAGACCACACAGCGCGGAGGGCCGGGCTGAGGCTGCAAGCTACACTCTTCATATGTGTCCTCTCAGGCCCGCAGGCCGCGCTTCTTAGTAAAATAAAGCTCTCTGTTATTCTAGGATGTCCTGTAGGCATCTGGGGGCTGGCGTGGGAGAGCTGAGCAGGGCCCTTGGGCCTGGAGGAGGACCCTGTGCCCCAATCAGCGGCCACGCTCGTCACCCCGCACTTGGCACCGCCCCGGGCCCCCGGCTGCAGGCCACGAGCCAGTGCGCTCCGGGGCCAGAGGACACTGAGGCCGGTACCCCCGCTGGGGATGGTGCCCGGGCCTGTCCCTGACAAGCCTCCTCGGATCCCAGTCCTGGTCCCCTCGGTGCCCCCAGGGCTGGGGAGGTGGGCGTGCTGTCTAGATGCCCGCCCTCCCCGGGGGCAGCCGCTCTGCAGCATCTCCTGGTGCCAGCACCCCGGGGGAGGGCGGTGCTCAGCCGGGCGCCAGGGCCTGGGCTGCAGGCAGGAGGGTCTCAGGCGCAGGGCTGCGCTGTGGGACCTGCTCCCGCCTCACCCTCGGCCCCGCCCACCCAGGTGCCCGCCGGCCCGGTGGGCACAGAGGAGCGGGGCCAGCGGCCTCCCTCGGCGCGGGGCGGGTGCGGCGCCATCAGGAACAGCAGGGCCTTCTTCTTGAGGTCCTTCCTCTCCCAGAGCGCCAGGCGGTCCAACTCCTCCACGCTCATGCAGAACACCGCCTGGAACCCCGCGGGTGGCAGGTGTCTCTCTAGTCTCGTCCGGTCCACGTCTTTGGGCAGCTTCACTCGGATTCGGTTTGTGACGATGAGGGGGTCATAGGGACAGACCTTATATTCTCTCGTGCCCCAGCTGGCATCCGGGCGGGTCTGCTCCACAAGGCGCCAGATTGGCGTTCCGGTGGTCCAGGCCCTTCTCTCCGTGTCGGGGAGAGGGTCAGATTTGGAACAGGGGAACCGTGAGTAGAAGCTGGCTCCCGGGCCCGTGGGGAGAGGGTCTCGGTGGGCCCCGCTGCTGTGGGACAGCGAGTTGGTCCTGGTGTCCGCGTCCCCCTGGAGGATCAGCCAGCTGCCCTTCTGCTTCCTGCCATCCTGGTCGGAACCGCTGTCCTCCCCGTCCGGGCGCCTCGAGGCGTGCTGCTTGTAGATGGGGGGCTCCCGGTAGATGTTACCTTTGACGCCGGGGTCTGGCACGTGGAAGTGGCGCTGCGCCTGCTGGTAGGTGGCGGGCGGCCTGCCGTCGGACAGCACCGAGAGCCTGGGGTGCTCCGGCCGCTTTCGCTGCCTGGCCGGCTGTAGTGCTGGGGCGACCGCGAGGTCTGGGTGTAGCGCCCGAGGCTGGCCGACCGGGCGGAGCTGGGGCTGGAGGTGCGGCACTGCCGGGAGGAGCGGTCGTCCTGGTCTCCCTCCAGGCCGCTCGGCCGGTCCCCCGCGTGGCTGACGTAGGGCGAGTAGGAGATCCTGTCGGGGCGGTGGATGTTGTAGATGGCCTTGCTCTTGGGCAGGGCAGCCAGGTCCCTGGAGTCCAGGATCTCGTCCCCCAGCCTGGCGTAGATGACGCGGCTGGGGGAGCCCGCGGTGCTGGACGCAGGCACGGAGATGATGCTCTCGGAGGACGTCCTGGTCTCCTGGAAGGCACAGGGGGTGGCACCCGGGCAAACCTGCTTCTGCATCTTGCTCTTGTCCTCCGTCCTGGCTGCTTGTCAGCAGGCGGAGTGCCAGATGGAGGAGCCTTGGAGGTACATCTCCTCGCCCTCGGCGAACATCCGGCCGCGCCGGCCAGGAGCGCGCAGAGCGGGTGGGAGTGCTTCTCGCCGCCTCCGGCACGTGCCCCGCGATGTGCTTCTCGCAGCCGTCACGGCAGAGGCCGAACTCCGCGTGGTGGTCGGCCTCGCAGTAGGGCGGCCCGTCCTTGCTGATGTACTCGGCATTCAGCTCCTTCCCGCAGGTCTTGCACTTGAAGCGGCCCAGGTGCCAGTGCTTGTCCAGGGCCACCAGGGACTGGCCGTTTTTTTACTTCTGCGGTGCAGCGCCCGCAGCTCCAGATGCCCTGGGACAGGGGAACACTTTGGGCACATGCACTCCTTCCCGGTGAAGGCCACGCCGTCCCTGGGCAGGAAGGGCAGCCGGCAGGGGCGCACACGAAGCAGTCAGGGTGGTAGGTCCGGCCCAGCGCTGACACCACCTGGCCCTCGATGAAGCGGTCGCAGGCGAAGCAGCGGGTGCCGTACATACGCTGGTAGTCCTGCGTGCAGATGTGCTGGCCCTGCCGCACGCCCTCTGCCAGGTAGCAGCCGCACACTGGGGAGCAGAGGCCGCTTCAGGGGGACCCTCCCACGGGCGGGCCCTCTCCCACTGGCGGCTCCTCTCCCCCTTATTATTAATATTTATATTTTTAAATCTCTTTTTCTGTTCTTCAAGAAGACCTTTTAACATTTCATATAATACTGATTGGGTGGTGATGAACTTTTTTAGCTCTTATTTTTCTAGGAAACTCTGTATCCTTTTATTCTAAATAACTTTGCTGGTAGAGTAATCTTGGTTTTAGGTCCCTATTTTTCATCACTTTGAATATTTTGTGACAATCCCTGTGGCCTGCAAAGTTTCTGTTGAGAAGTCAGCTCACAGTCTTATGGGAGCTCCCTTGTAGATAACTGCTTTTCTCTTGCTGCTTTTAAGATTCTCTCTTTGTCTTTAACTTCTTGGATCTTTTTTTTTTAAATTAAATTTTCTTTTGATGATAGAACTAGCAGGTTTTAATAGTAGATTATAAATGGTGTGTGAGACAAATAGAAGAGTCAAGAATGAGTCCAGGGTTTTGGGGAGATGATGTTTTGTTTTAGTTTTTTAAAATATTTATTGTTGAAAGTTACACATATGTACCCCTTCTCCCCCCAACCCCATTGACCATTTCTAGACTGCCCAATCCCGGGCCTTCACCAACCTATTGTCTGTGTTCATGGGTTATGCATATATGAACACAAGTTCTTTGGTTGATCACTTCCCATTCACCTTCTTGCATTTTTAAATATGATGTGACTTAGTGTGGGCCTCTTTGGGTTCATCTTTTTTAGGACTCTATGCTTCCTGGACTTATATTTCTTTTTTCCTTAACCAGGTTAGAAAAGCTTTTTTGTCATTATTTTTCCAAATAGGTTTTCAATTTCTTGCTCACTTTCTTTCTCCTTCTGGTACCCCATAATGTGAATGTTGGTATACTTAAAGTTGTTCCAGAGGCTCTTTACAATATCCTCATCTTTAAAACATTTTTTTTGTACTTTGTACAACTTTTATTAAGGGTGAACCAATATAAGTATTCATAAACTGTAAAACAATGGGGAACTGTAAATAGTAGGAAACAGGGATCCTAAATAATAGACAAAACCTCTTAAATTTTCTTATTGCTTATATACATCAATGTGTAATATTTAAGCTTCACTGAACTCCTTATTAAGTAAACGTTTTTTTCATATGCTGACTTTTTATCTCTGTGCCTTTATCTTTTTTTAAATATATATATTTCCTTATTGATTTTAAGAGAGGAAGGGAGGAGAGAAACATCAATGATGGGAGAGAGAATCATCGTTCAGCTGCCTCCTGCATGCCCCCCACTGGGGACCGAGTTCGCAACCCAGGCATGTGTCCTTGGATGGAATCGAACCTCGGACCCTTCAGTCCATAGGCTGACGCTCTATCCACTGAGCCAAGCCAGCTAGGGCTGCCTTTATCTTTTGACTTTCAGCAAACCTACCTGAATAGTTTTATCTTCTGGTGCTATCTCCTGGGCTTCCTTTTCCTTAAAAAAATAAAAAAAAATAAAAAATAATATATATATATATATATATATATATATATATATATATATATATATGTGTGTGTGTGTGTGTGTGTGTGTGTGTGTGTGTGTGTGTATAAGTATATGTATATTTGTGTTGATTTCAGACAGGAAGGGAAAGGAAGAGAGAGAAACATCAGTGATGAGAGAAATCATTGATCAGCTGCCTCCTGCACAACCCCTACTGGGAATCAAACCTGAAACCCATGTGCCCTGATTGGGAATTGAACCATCACTTTCTGGTGCATAGGTCATTGCTCAACAACTGAGCCACACCAGCCAGGCAATTTTTCTTTTTAAAGTACTTTAAGTGGCATTAGGGGATGATTTATGTGGAAAGGACTATGAGGGAAACTACTTGGATGCTGGGTGGTACTTATGCCAATATGTTCAGATGTAAAATTTTATCAAATTAAAATTTTAATTTTAATTAAAAGAAAATAAAACAATCCATTTGAAATTTTTTAAATGTGATATTTACAGTAGCATAAAAATGTTAAGTACTGAAAAATAAATCTGGCACAGCATTGCAAAATGTATACGTTGAGACTTACAAAACATTGATTAGAGAAATTAAAGAACACTTAAATGGAGAGACACTTTATGTTCATGAGTCCAAAGACCAACTCATGTTCATTCTTCCCAAATTGGTTTATAGATTCAACATGATCCCACTCAAAATTGAGTTTTTTTCCATTGTAGAAGTTGAAAAAAAACAGGTTCTGAAATTCAAATGAAAATTCCAAAATTTTAGAATAGCCAAATCAACTTTGTAAAAGAACAAATTTAGGTAACTAACACTACCTGATTTCAACACATCAACCTTCTGTATTGGAACAAAGATAGGCAAATCAATAGAACAGAGTCCTTAAATAGACCCATACATGTAAGGACAACTGGTTTTCAACAAAAGTCCAAAGGTAATTCCAGGTAGGAAGGATGCTTTTTTTAGATTTTTGGATATACAAAAGTAAGAAAGTGAACTTCAAACATGCCCTGCACCATACAAAAATTAACTCAAAACGGATCTTGGAGCTAAATGTAAAACTCAAAACTATAAAACTTCTGGAGGAAAGAAAATTGCTATGACCTTGGATTAAGTAAAGATTTCATAGACATGATACCAAAAGCCAAGTCTTTGATGATCATAAAAGAAGTTGATAAATTAGAATTTACCAAAATTTTAAAAGTTTTTGTACTTTGAAAATATTTGCAAATCACATCTGACGAAGAGTTTGTGTAACAGAGTGAAATGCTTGGTCTCTCTGAGCCCATCTTGTTTAAGTTCCCCTGACCTTCAGGCTAACAGCTTCTGCTTTAGACTTGATAATCATTAGAGGAATTCTGCTTGGGGCTTGAGTTTTTACAACAGCTCTCCTATTTCCCCTTCCCTCAACATAAAAGGAGCCTGGACTCTGTACTTTCTTAATATGGTTTTGAGGACTAGATGTCCCATCTTCTTGGTTGGTGCCTACATGATCAAGAAACCTCTCCTTATTCCAAATTGATGTTTTAAGTTTTAGCTTTTTGAAGTATCAGGCACACAACTTAGAACCTGTATCCTGGATTTATAGACTTCTCAAAACTCAGTAATAAAAAAAACTACAGAATTTTTTAGATGGGCAACAAAAATTTAACAAAGAAGATATATGGATCAGAAAAGAAATACATGAAAAGGAACTCAAAATCACTAGTCATTAGATAAATGCAAATTAAGATTGACATGTTGGAGATATAAGGAGCAACTGGAATAAGCATGCACTCCTGTTGGAATGTAAAATCATTTATCATGACACAGCCAGACCACTCCTAGGTATTTACCTAAGAGATATGAAAATACATGTTCATATAAAGATTTGTACAGAAATATTTATAGCAGCTTTAATCTAATAGCTGAAAATGAGAAACAATCGAAATATCCCATCAACAAGTGAATAGAAAAACACAGTACATCCATGTAATGGGAAATTACTCACCAATAAAAGGAATTATGTACACAACATGGGCGAATATCAAAATAATTATGAAGCCAGATAAAAATAGTACATACTGCCCTGACTGGTTTGGCTCAGTGGATAGAGCACTGGCCTACAGACTAAAGGGTTCCAGGTTGATTCCTGACAGGATTATGTACCATGGTTGTGGGCACATCCCCAGTAGTGGGTGTGTAGGAGGCAGCTGATAGATGTTTTTCTCTCATCGATGTTTCTAACTCTCTATCCTTCTCCCTTCCTCTCTGTTAAAAAAAAAAATCAATAAAATATATTTTTTTAAAATAGTACATTCTAAGACATAGTGACAGGGAGCAGATCAGTGGTTGTCTGAGGGGTGAAATGGGCCAAGAGCAGGGAAGAACAGCAAGAAGGGAGTGGTTAAAAGGGCCACAAGGAAACTTTTAGGGTAAGACTCACTAAATATATGGATAGCTTCTCTGCTTCAGTATAGTGATTTCATGAGTTTGTACACTTTATTTTTTTTTAATATATTTTATTGATTTTGTACAGAGAGGAAGGGAGAGAGATAGAGAGCCAGAAACATCGATGAGAGAGAGTCATCGATCAGCTGCCTCTTGCACACCCCATACTGGGGATGTGCCCGCAACCAAGGTACATGCCCTTTACCAGAATCGAACCCGGGACCCTTCAGTCCCCAAGCCGATGCTCTATCCATTGAGCCAAACCGGTCCCGGAGAGTTTGTACACTTTAAATATGTGTAGTTTATGTCAATTATAGTTCTATAAAGACATTTTTAAAACAAGTTCAATGTTGAGTAGAAGTTGATAAGCATATAGATAGTATTTAGCAATATGAGAACATGAACATGAAAATAGGCAAATACAATATACCTAAGAAAAGAGTGACATGCTAATTGACCGTACCTTTGTGACACCCACCAGCCAATTAGGAGTATGCAAATTAACCCAACAAAGATGGCGGGTTAACTGCATATGCAGGTGCCAAGCAGCCCGGGGCGGGTGGGACACAGGCTTTCCACACCGCCCCAGCCCCTCTGGGCCTCTGGGTGTGGAAAGGCAGAAAGGTGGCTCTGGGCTGGAGCAGAAAGGCTGCTCTGGCCAGAGCGAAGGCAGTGCCAGCAGCCAGGGGAGGGAAGGCCCATTCTTGCATGAATCTTCATGCATGGGACCTCTAGTCCTATATAATAAAAGGCTAAAATGCAAATCGTCTCCTCAACCAGAGTTCAACCAGAAGGTGGGGCCGGCCAGCCAACCTCCTATGTCCCCTCATTAAAGATGAAAAGCATGCAAATTTATTTAATACAAGTTTTATGTGACATGAGAGCCTTCATAAGGAAATGAAGACTCAAAGAAATGGGTTAGCATGAGTGTTTTTATACTAAGTTTGATGAAGAGTGGAAAATTGTAGGGAAAAAGAAGAAAGGGGCGTGAGCAAAGGGTAGTAAACTGGGGAAACTCGGAAAGGTTTGTTCATTGAGGTCCTTCTCAGTATCTCTCCATCTTCAGAGATAAGAATGCACCTTTGCAAATGATATTTTGGAAGAATATTAACTGGTACGAGAAAATCCTTAAGTGAAATTAACTTCTTTATATAGAGGTATAGGACTGAAATTGTAATTTTCCTACATTTTCTGTTTCTCGTATTCTGTTAATCAATTAACATCTAATTTCTAACTAGAAATTAAGAAACTTGTTTTTAAAATTATATTGAATATTATTGCTGAGAACATTTTATTGTTTTCTAATTTCTGGAGCTTTGTAATCCATTGTGTGATGTCTCAAAACTGCCACTTGGCATGACTGAAAGGAAAAATGAGAGGATGTCATTCTGCAATTCTGACTAATGGAGTTTATTACATAAGCATTTACTAACACTATAAATACTAGCAACATTTTCTGTACACTGTTCTAAAGAAACTTTTGCTTGAAAACACGAGAATTTTTATATGATTTATTTAATAATAAACCAATTGCAGATACAAAAATGTTGAGAGGATTTCAAAATTTAAATTTTTGTTTAAATACAAAGTCACTCTGTAATATGAAAACATATAACATTAGACCTCTAAAGAAAATTTTTTCATCTACAAAAATTTATCTTTCTTATACTAGAAAATATGCAGAAAACAATTTTTCTTGTGAAATGTACATTATTTACAGTTGAAAAGTAATCTGAAATTTATTTCAGAAACGTGGTTATACATATATATATATTATCTTTGTATGCAATTCCCCCCTACTCATTTTAAAAAAATCCAAAATATAAATCAATTGTGCTTTTATAGCAACGGACCATTCAAGCAGATTAACCCAAGGCTTGGATGTTTTCTGAGCCTGTAAGAAAGAGTCTAGACTCTCAGAACAGCAATGTATTAGCAATGCATGTTTACTAATGGGCCACAGTGCACAGGGGCCTAAGGAATTAATGAAGAATTCAGTTTCATAGCAATCTTACAGATAGTAGAAATTTTAATTTCTAGGGCCATTATTTTTCTGCAATATTTTTGCTATACTTACATTAGGAAATAAGCTGATGTTTTAATTGATATAATTCTAAAATATAGGAGTTGGAATCATAAATTTAGAACTATAAAGGAAATTGAAGATCATCTAGTCTAAGCCAAATGTACCGTATTTTTCGGACCATAAGATGCACTTTTTTCCCCCCAGAAGTGGGGGGGAAAAGTCCCTGCGTCTTATGGTCCAAATATAGCCTACACATATACTTTAAAAAAAAAGTTTTTTTACTTGCCCGGCTCTGTGTGGTCTCTGTGTGCTTGCCCGGCTCTAAAATGGTTCTAAATGCTGCTGTTTACTTTACAGGGTTGATTACATGTGTTTATGACTGTGATGTTGGGTTTTAATGCACATAAAATATTTTAGGACACTATTTGTTTCAGAATCTTTTTTTCTTCATTTCCCTTCTCTAAAAACTGGTGCATCTTATGGTCCGGAGCGTCTTATGGTCCGAAAAATACGGTATTCCTTACTTTGATGAGAGAACTGAAGCCCAGAAAGAACAGTGGCTTGCCCAAGGTTACAAAACTAGTTAGGAGGCCACTCTTAGATTGCTGCTTTCATACTACCTTGCTTCTAAAACAGGTTCAGCCATCATCATGGGCATATTTCAATTTTAATGTTATATTTTACATTCATAGTTCAATATACTGTTCATCCAACTAAAAGTCAATCTAGTTAAATCATAATTTTAACAAAGTATAAAATAGGTGTCTTGCAGTTGAAAGAGTCAAAACTTAACTTACACAAGTGGAATGAAAATAGTTCCTATATAAGTTTCCTGTTGTCTTCTATTTAAGTACTGTATTTACAACAGAATCAGAAAAGATCAGACATTGTAAAATTTTAAAAGCAACTTTAAAAATGCTTAAGATATAGCAATGAAAAAAAAATCTCAAAAGAATGTCTTCATAGTATAAAATGCCTGTTCTTTCACAAGTGAATTCTGAACATTTGGCGAACAAAGAGAAACCCTTTGGTTTTCCTCATCTAACAAAGTCAAACTAACTCTTAATTATTTTTAAAAACTACAAAAAGGAATATCTTTATAATTTTGTCTTAGAATCAGATAGTTTGCATTCAATTGGAAATGTTAAATTAAAAAACAATCATCCATAATTCTTTTGGAATTTTAATTAAAAAGAGTTGGGTTCCAGCAGTTCATTTTGTTTCATAGCTACCTGAGAAGTAAGTCCATTGGAATTGGAAACCACCATCACGTAAGACTGTGGCTGTTGCTCGGTTTCCTCAGTGTCTTCTTTCAAATCTTCTTCAGCCTCCTTTTTCTCTACTTCCTGGGTAAGAGTTTTTGTGTCTTGAGCTTTGATAACTGAAGTGATTACAGTGCCAGGTGGGTGGGCAACCAGCTGTGAACTGCGAGGAGAAAATGTCACCACAGGGGCAGTAGCACTGAAGGGTGGCGATGAAGCCATGCTGACGGTTCCATTGCAAATGGACTGGACATTGCTGGTAAGAACCTGCTGTACTTGGGCAGGACTCAAGACGATCGATGGAGGAGAGCCCGGCTTCTGAGACTGTAACACCACATTTTCTTTCAGTACTGTCATGGGCTGTGAGGATGGAATGGCTTGTAAAATAAATTTCTGAGACCCAGCACCTGACGATGGATCTGTGCTGGCTATCACTGTTGTGAGTGGCACTGTCTGGAGTGTTACTGTATGCAAATGCTGATTCCCAGGAGACACGACCACTGGAACTTGGGCTGGAGCCTGTATAGTCCTATAGAAATTAAGGAATAAAAGTGAGAAAATTATCATATTCTACATCATTTAAAACATTAACATTGACAAGTCACTTTGACAAAAATACGAGTTATGTCAACATAACACAATGCCAGACTCTGCAGTAAACACTGCACATACAGAAACACCCAAGAAAACCATTAGATAAAATTAAATAACCCAAGGCTTATTAAATAGTTAACAATTGCCAGATCATTACAGGTGAATTATAGTCATGTGGTCTACCACATATGTGACAAATGAAATTGTGGAGTAAAAAAAAAAAAAAAAATGTGCTAGATAGAAAGGTGAAAAGAAGACTCAGTACAATTCAGAAGTTCAAAGGAAGTGGAAAGACACAGGAGGACTTAGACCCCACCCATGCAGGTAAGATGACTGATTCTCAAGTTCAGATTGCCACCAAAGTCACCATGGTCAGGATCAGTCTACAGCAGGATATTAGCAGCTCTTGTAAAGAACGAGATAGAAGAGAATATAAGTTGGGTAATGAATATTTAATAGTGGGGAGGTGTGGCAAAGAATCAAGGCCAGGTGTACTAATATTATTGGGCAGGCAGGGATGAGTTAGAAGGATAAAGAATAACTTTGGGAGCCAGGAAACTTTCCCAAAATGCACTGTGCCTACCTTCTCCTCCTGTCCACCTGAATCAGGATAGGCTGTGTGAAATCTGAGTTAGTGTATGGTACCTCATCCTATAGTCAGATGTCACTTTTTTAAGGTTTCCCATATCAAGAGTTTATGTACATGTACATATTGGTAAAATAGTACTTGGTATATAGTAAGCATACCAATTGTGTCTATAAATACCGTGTTTCCCCGAAAATAAGACATCCTCTGAAAATAAGCCCTACTTACAGGTTTCCTTCAGAGTGAAATATAAGGCATCCCCCGAAAATAAGACCTACTTACAAGTTTCCTTCTGAGTGAAATATAAGGCATCCCCCCCAAAAATAAGCCCCCTCCCCACCAGACTCTGTCTCAGAAACTTTGTAAAACCTAAACTGCAAGAAGTTGTGACTTGCGTGAAGAATTCATGGGAGAAAATCACTGACAGTTGCATTGCAAATGCACTGAGAGCAGGCTACCTTGACAAGAAGTACTCATTTAAAGACAGTGCTATTGCTAAACATGAGAGATTTGGTCCACTGATTCTGAAAGAAATGGAGTCACAAGAAATTCACCAGGAAATTCAGGAATTGGATTGTTATGATGATGTTCCAGAAGATGATGACATGATTGTCATTGAATAAATGAGTAAATTCTTGATACTGTAGGATTCACAGTTTGCCTGGTTTGTGTTGACAACTACTGTACTACCGTACCGTATACAAGTAATAAATTTTCTTTATTTTCATTTAACAATAAATGTGTACCGTATTCTTCTTCATGGAAAAATAAGACATCCCCTGAAAATAAGGCCTGGCGCATCTTTGGGAGCAAAAATTAATATAAGACACTGTCTTATTTTCGGGGAAATGGTATGTATAGCCTTGCAGCTCTGTAAGTACTACCCCATTTTACATATGGAAAAATTAATGCACATAGATTGAATAGTTTGTCTAAGGTTGACCAATTAGATAAAAAGCCATCTGAATGCATAGCTTATGTGCTTAACCATTCAACACACTGTCATTTCCTAAGTCCTCAAATAGCTTCAGCTAAAGATGAATATTTACAATTTTATCTATTACTAGATTCACAGTGCATGAAATTCATGCACGGTGATCACGTAGCATAATAAGGTTGTGTCTGGTTGATTAATTCTTGGTACCAGATATCTTTATATACCAGTGTAAGTACCTGATGTGCTTTTTTTAAAGTTACTTTGGAGCAAAAAGGGGAAGTAATTACTTTTATTTTTTTGTCAGATCAGCATAAATATATTTTTTGGTGTGCTGAAGAATTTCAGTAATTAGTTTATGTTTGCCATAGATGAAAAAGGTTGAAAATTGCTGACATAAATCTAGATGGCACAGCCTACTACATGTTTAGTACTTTCGGTATAGCCTATTCCTCCTAGGCTACAAACATATATACTGCATATTACTATACTGAATACTATAGGCAACTGAATGCAATGTAAGTATTTGTGTATGTGAACATAGAAAGGTACAGTGAAAATATGGCATCATAGATAAAATGGTATATCTGTATGGGGCACTTACCATAAATGGAGCTTACAGGATGGAAAGTTGCTCTAGGTGAGTGAGTGGTGAAATAATGTGAAGGAAAGCCTAGGACATTACTGAACACAACAGAGACTGTATAAATGATGTCCCGCAAACCCTTCCCCTACTTCTTTCCAACAGAGTCAGAAATAGAGCACTGAAACTGTCAATGCTACTCCATGAACAGAGAAGTAGGCTGGATGACTGGAAATATTGAGGAGAAATTAGTTGGGTAAGGCATAGATAACTATAATAGTAACTATCAGGAGGGAGTGAAAAGTGGCCTGAGGATCAGTAGGAATATTAAATCAAGATGAAGAGATAAAGGAACATAGGGGATTATCATGGCAACGTGGTTTTGGCTATTCTGGTCAGATTAAAAATCTTTGTGGTACACACACACACACACACACACACACACACACACACACGGCTGTTTAACATGGAAAGCGTGTAGAACTGATGACTCAATATTTTGACTTTGACAATTTGTTTTTGGTTCCATGACCCTATTTGGTACAAAAAGCTCTTTCTGGCATTGAACTGATGGAAAAAATGAAACCTATCTATACTTTTCTTCATTACAACCTGAAAACATCTCCAAAGCACAGGTACAGGCTGGCTCCACACTGCTACAGAAAGTGTTTTCTAAAGTGTCAGTGACACTTAATACTTGTTAAGGTGGCTCCTGTGGACCTGTGTCCTTGTACGGGATCTTAGGTCCTCAACAAAGAACTTACAGCAGTGTATTCTGAATATGATCAAGCTAGGTTTGGGAGGGTTGTAGCATTGTGGGTACAGGCTCCTCTATGCTGTAAAAGGTCAGTGACTGTCTGCCTGGACTATAATCTACACTCAAAATTGAAGTGCTCTGAGTAGATGGGAATGTATTGCCAAATCCCTCAAATATCGCTGCTACCAGAGGAAAATAATTACTCCTGTACCACATTATCCTTCTATTTCTTACAAAAAATTCAGCTCCATTATCATCTTACTAGTGACCTGGTGCACAGATGCATGCACATTGGAAGGAAGTTAATTAGAAGAAATATTTTAATGTCACTATTCGCCCTTTCTCTATAATAGAAATATCAACCAAATTCATGATAGACAATGACAAATTGAAACACACGCTTGCAATTGGCACCAGCGAGAGCTTCAAATGTACTGCACATGGGTGAGTCAACTTAGCCTGTTATACTATATACAGAATAAACTTGCTTAATTAGACCTGCTTTCTGATATAGCTAAACTTTTTCTAGCTCAGTGAAACACCCCAACTTCTCTTTTAGGTAATTGTTAGCAACATAGCAGTAAATATCAAAACAAATCATATTATTATTGTAGATCACGTAGGGAGAACAAAGGGTAAAATATTTAACTGCAGCAGTGTTTAACTATATTCTGCACAGTGAGAAAACCTAAAGTCATTTTCAAGGTCCACCATGTAACCAATGGGATCTGGAGGAAAATAAAACATTAAAAGGAATTAGAGAGCTAAATAATTACTTCTTTAATGCCAATTAGAGATGTATCATTCCTATCCAAATAAAATGAAAAAAAGTGATCTTTTTATTCCTTGCAAGTCCACTAAAGATTTAAAAGAATTCAATTTTCACGAAGTTAAAGGTTTAAATGGACCATATAAGAAAGATTGAACCACCTAAGTCTATCTTGATCCTAGATAATGTTTGCTTACTGCAAGATCAATTGAACAAAAATCCAGCATTTATATTCTGGAATATAAGACTAAAGTTGACTAATAAAAGTAATCAAAGCCCTAACAGGTTTGGCTCAGTGGATAGGGAGTCAACCTGTGAAGTGACTCGTCCTAGGTTCGATTCTAGTCAAGGGTATGTACCTTGGTTTCGGGCACTTCCCCAGAAAGGGGTGTGCAGGAGGCAGCTGATCGATATTTCTCTCTCATCAATGTTTCTAACTCTCTATCCCTCTCCTTTCCTCTCTGTAAAAAAATCAATAAAAGTATATATTTTTAAAAAGTAATCAAAGAATAATTGTTATTAGATTTTGAGGGGCTCCTACATCTTATTATAATTTATGTACTGGAAATTCATGACAGTAGAAACAAAAATGGAGTATTACCTTTATTTTATCCCTCTCTCCATTTTCCTCATTCTAAATTGGCCAAGACAAGCCCCAAATATCTGCGAAAGACTACTCTGAAGCAGATAGGGTTTTCTTAGTTAACCTGTTGTTTCATATCTTTCCTGAGACTATAAAGCAAATTTGATTTGATTAAGCCAACTTCTACCACTCTGCAAGCCTGAAAAAGAGGACCTTAGATTCTTGGCCTTTCTACCTGTTGGAACTTTGGGAATTAACTGTTCCATAATAGGATTTCCCAAGGAATAATGTTTATATCTTGAAACCCAATACATTCCAAAAATGATTTGTTCATTTTTGTTTAATTTTTGCAGCTTCTGACTCTGAAAATAGATCTGAAACCATTCTCTGGGTTTTCTTATATGTGGATCACTTATTATATAAATTAATTCAGTTATAAAAAGGTATAATGGACTAGACTTAAATTGATAGAATAACATCAAGTCATATCAAAGTGTAAAAATAAAGGAAACATTGATACAATCAGGTGTGATACAATCTGTTGACCAAACATTCTAGCTTGGAATCTGTATCATTTTTAAGACCCACTTAATAAATAATGGCTCTGGATCAGGAAGATCACATAATAGTACACATTGGTAAATTTTAGTTTTCTCACCTAATACTTTGAACTGAAGAATTTACTGTTTCGTCTTGCACACAACTAATTATGGCCGCTTCTCCTTCTGGGACAGCTTGTACTGGCTGCACTACATGAACAGTCCGGAAGAGCGGGGTAGGATATGCAGACTGCGTGGGCTGCACTGTCCTCAGAACTTCTGATGGCTGGGCAACTTCCACAGGATCTTTGATTTTAGTAGCTTTAGAATTCCCTGGTTTTAGAACTGTAGTGGCTCCTCCTTTTATCCCTGGACTTGAAGATACTCTTGATCGTCCTGCTTGGTTCCTGCTTGAAGTGGTTGTTGCTGACAGTGATGGATCTGAAGATTCTATGCTGGAACTTGGATCCTCATCATCTATATAAATAAGATCTTTTGGCATTTCCTTAAACTGATACACCAGGCGCTGACCTTCTACTTTTGCCAGAATACCCCTTTGGTAATAGTACCTATTCAAAGCAGACAATCCATCAATATTTTATTCAATTAAATATAAATGAAAATAATATTCACTAAAATAAAAATTTTATAATTGTGAAGTTTAAAGTTGGGAACAAGTGAGAGAAAAGAATTTCTATATGAAGGGCAATTATTTTATATAAGATAATGTAATTAAAACATTATTTTCTAACTATATGTAAAATACATATTTATTCACAGAGAATAAAGTCCTTATTACTAACTGAATCTAAAAGCAATTTTAATTAGGGGATTGTTAATAAAGTATATGGATTATTCTAGCCTTCACTTTTCTTCCTTCCTCTACCTTTCTGTTAATTTGCTGGAATAATCCAATCTATAGTACCAAACTCAAGAAACTATTTCCCTTCCATATTTTCCTGTAATGTCACTACCAGTTTAAATTTGATTTTGTAAACTTAATTCAGTTTTCTATATAAAATTTAATGATGCACAAATTTAAGGGATTCAAATTTTGTCAATAATTTAAATTATATTAGTAAGCAAAAGTATGTTAAAAAAACATTAAATACACAGTTCTAGCTTAAGGTTATCAAGTTATCATATCATTGGTGTTTTTAACAAAATTTTCTCAAATACATTTGTATCTTGAAGAATAAATGATAAGACCACAGAGAAAATAAAGTGAGTTAAAGAATATTATACTCCAGTGGAAAAAATTTGTCTAATCTTATCCCTGCAGCAAAGATTTATTCTACATAAGATATTACAAATCATACCTGAGGTTTACATATAAAAGTGTACCCCTTAATTTCCTACATCACCACTATTTGTATTTTGTGCTGATTTTAAGTTTAATGGCTCAATACAGGTTTGGCCTATGGTCAATTTATAATATCTGATAATATTTTAACACTTTCTGATCCCTTTATAAATATCTGTTGTTTGCATGAAGATCTTTTTTGGGAGGCAAACATTTTCCCAGATTGAAATAGGATTTCAATTTAAATGCACACTGATCCTAAATCACTCTGGTTTTAGCAATTCAGTAAGTAAAATTCACCATTTTAAAAATTCTTTAGCTTTTAGAAGTTATCAATTTTTATTTTTTTTTAGCATTTAGAAAATTATATTCTTAACATAATAAATTACAAAAACTTCACATACCTGAGAGCTCTTCCCATGGTCTCATAATTCATATCAGGTTTATTTTTGTGCTTCCCCCACAACCTGGATACTGCTTTAGAATCTACCAATTTAAAAATGCCTTTTTCTTTCTGGGTCCATTTGATATATTTAGGACAAGTAGCTTTGTCCTGGAGCAGTGCCAGTAAAAACTCCCAAAGATAAATGGTGTTTCCTGAAACAAAAGCAATTTCTTTTATCAAAATTTCATTTGAAGTGCACAATAAAACATAACTAAAAGTTCCATCTGTAATTATACAAAGATATAATATAATTTGTTACTATTGAAAATATAATGGTTATAATTTTGGGGCCTGATATAGATTTTTTTTTACTAGCCGCATATACGGTATCTCAACAGAGCAATCTTGCCAATTAGATTTGTCATGTTTTAGGGAGAAAGCACTTTGAGATGATTTTTTTCCTTCAAATTTTGGAAACAGTTATTAAAATATTATGTAATAAAATTTCTATAAACTGAAAACCTAACCTGGCTGAACTCTTCCAAGAGACTCATTATTTTATATGAATGAATGGATTATTTGGACAGGTGAGTGAACATCTTTTAAAAATCCTTTTAAAAAAGCATGGTAGTAACATAGCCCAGAAATCTTTTCTGGGCTATGTTACTACCATGCTTTTTATAGAAAATGGCAACTGTATCTCATAAGCATTTTAAAGCAATCTGAACATCATTTGACCCGTAAGTTTTATAGGAAAATTACAATATTACTTACCCTTCCCATCTTTGTTTTTCTTCTTCACAGATATGTTTGGTGTAGTTGCTGGGGAATCTGGTCGTGGTGGTTTAGTTTTTCTCCCTGGAAGCAGAACAGCTCTGCATAAATATTTGCCCTCAAAAGTGTGAGTGGACAATTTAGCTGTAAGTGCCGTTTTGTCCTTTATCCTAATTTTAAGTGCCAAACCCATATATATATATATATATATATATATATATATATATATATATGTCTCTTTAAGTGCTATTTAATGAAAAATAATTTGAGTAAAAACTTTAATGTAATTTAGATCACAAATACATTGAAAATGATATTTTGGCTCATTTGTAAACATAAGGTAAAGTTCAAAACATTGCATCTTGTCTTTGAGTTGACAATGCTGACAGTGCTTTCTTAAAATTCAGGGGGAAATTCTTAATTCTGATAAAACTTGAGCTAAAAAAAAAATCCATATAGGTTTCTAAGTTTTTAAGGCAGGAAAAGTAGATTTTTAGCTTTTTTCTCTTTTAAATATATTGCTGGGTCCATTTGATACATTTAGGACAAGTAACTTTGTTAGTTTGCATAGTTAGTTCTCAAATTGAAAACTTCCCCAAACTCTAGATATAAAAAATAAATGACATTTTGGTGAAACAAAGTAAATTTTTAATTTTCCTGTGTATTTTTAAACATCTCATTTTTATGTATATTTATGTTACAACAGACTTTATATGTTATCCATTAACCAATCTCTAAACAAGTCCATTCCGCCGAAACTGGTTTAGCTCAGTGGATAGAGTGTCGGCCTGTGGACCGAAAGGTCCCGGGTTCGATTCCGGTCAAGGGCATGTACCTTGGTTGCGGACACATCCCCAGTAGGAGGTGTGCAAGAGGCAGCTGATCGATGATTCTCTCTCATTGATGTTCCAACTCTCTATCCCTCTCTCTTCCTCTCTGTAAAAGAAATCAATAAAAATATATTTAAAAAATAAAAAAATAAAAAAATAAAATAAACAAATCCATTCCAAGAGTAGTATTAAACTGTATTTTGTGCAGCTTTAGTCTGGATCAACCAATTACCCTAAAGCCTTCTTGTAATCCTCTTTTGCCACTTATCTAGAATCACAATTGGTTGGCAATGTTCCCTGTAATTTAGGTAGAAATGATCATGCTGTCTCCATCAGTATACGGGTAACAATAAGGACCAAGCATAATTGGATACTTCAGTTAGTACATCTTACTCTAGCATTTTAAGGCTGACTGTCTCAAGGGTGAACATGAGTCAGAGAGAAGAGTGTCAAAGATGTCCCTCTTCAGGCCCCCTTAAGACTACCAAATGTATAAATGTGGAACCTAGTCAGCCAGGTGTCTCAACTTCCATCACTACAGACATCTGCAGAGAACCCATTCATGAGGCAGACACTTCTGGTTGACTGTGTTAATGAAAACAAGTTTTAGAAGCCAAGAATTCTGTTAGCTCCTATCCCTATCACTCATTTTATGCTTCTTATTTACCTGTGTGTGTTTTTCTGATAGATACCATATTCTTTCTTTTTAAAATGTTTTTATTGATTTCAGAGAGAAAGGGAGAGGGAGAGAGATAGAAACATCAATGATGACAGAATCAACGATCAGTTGCCTTCTGCATGCCTCTGACTGGGGATGGAGCCAGCAACCCGGGCATGTGCTCTGACTGGGAATCCAACTGTCACCTCCTGGTTTACAGATTGATGCTCAACCACTGAGCCACTTCAACAGGGCTAGAATTAATTGACTTTTTTTTAGAGAGGAAAGGAGAAAGAGAGAGAGAGAGAGAGAGAGAGAGAGAGAGAGAGAGAGAGAGAGAGAGAGAGAGAGAGAGAGAGAGAGATTGAGATTGGTTGCCTCCTATACGTGCCTCAATTGGGACTGGGGATCAAACCTGCAACCCAGGGACATGCCCTTGACTGGGATTGAACCCACCACTCTTCAGTAAAAGGGCTAATGCTCTAAGCCCTGAAGCACACCAGTCAGTGCTCAAAAGGTTTTATTTAAGGAAATCCCATGCAGCCTGGTTTAAATGTATGATTTGCCAGAACAATTTTACAAGAGCTTCTGTCTGATGTCCCAAAGTTATTGCTAGCCTGGGTCACTCTTATGTAATTTACTTTTTTTGGAAATCCTAAAGAAATTGATAGTTTAAAATCTTAATTATAAACTTAGGTTAAGGCAAGCCTAGGATTATGAATTTTCGAAGGAAGAATTCCTTTTTCCTTCACTCAGAGCCATAGTTTCCTTGATATTTGTCTGTGCCAATGGGCATAGTATTTTTCTCTTGTGGTTATAGCCTTTCAAGGACCCCAATTACATGCTGAGGTCTCTTCCCAGACCCCATCTTGCACTGGATCAAGACTTAAACATCTTGCCAAAACCGGTTTCGCTCAGTGGTAGAGCGTTGGTCTGCGGACTGAAAGGTCCCAGGTTTGATTCCGGTCAGGGGAAGGTACGTTGGTTGTGGGCACATCCCTGGTAGGGGGTGTGCAGGAGGCAACTGGTCGATGTTTCTCTCTCGTTGACGTTTCTAGCTCTCTATCTCTTTCCCTTCCTCTCTGTAAAAATCAATAAAATATATTAAAAAACAAACTTAAGCAACTGCCTCTACAAGGGCAATAAGATCCGATCCACCTAAATACCAAGCCTGACATGTCCTTCTCAACCCTTAAAGGCCATGGTAGTGCTAGCTCATTCTTAATGTTTTCATTGTCCTCTTAATTAAAAACATTTTTTAAAATATATTTTTATTGATTTCAGAGAGGAAGTGAGAAGAAGGAAAGAGATAAAAAACATCAATGCTGAGAGAGAATCACTGATCAGCTGGCTCCTGCATGTCTCCCACTGGGGATTGAACCCACAACCCAGACACATGCCCTGACTGGGAACTGAATCATGACCTCCTGGTTCATAGGTTGATGCTCAACCACTGAACCACACCAGTCAGGCTCCTCTTCAATTCTGGCTCTAGGAATTTTTCCTTCTTTTTCGTGAAGTTAGGTTACTTGGTAGCTAGTAGTGATGCCATTAACCAAGATATTAAACTTAAAATATTAAACAAATTGGAGCAGAATCAGAATAAAATAAAATGGAAAGAGTGTTAGACTTTAAAATATAAGAATGGTCCTAAAGTTAAAAATTCCCTTTAAGCCAAAGGGAATTTGTTTGTCTCAGTGGATAGAGTGTTGGCCTGCGGACTGAAGGGTCCCGGGTTCGATTCTAGTCAAGAGCATGTACCTTGGTTGCGGGCATATCCCCGGTGGGGGGGGTGGTGTGTGCAGGAGGCAGCTGATCGATGTTTCTCTCTCATCAAGACTTTATTGTTTCCCCTAAACGAATGAACCACTCACCTTTCTTCCTCTTAGGTTGTTCTGGTGAGGAGGCTCCTGGTGAGTGTGCATATGTCTCTTGAACCTGCTGAGTTTCCATCACTTCAGGAATCCCATCTAATGTGACGGATACATGGGTGATTGGGGCAACAACAATGTCATCTTCAGATGAACTAAAAATACTATTATCTAATGGAAATAAATTATCATCAACTTTGTATTACAAATCAAAATAATTTCATAAAATAATTTTATGTTTCTATAAAGAATAAAATATACATAAAAACTTTATTTTTTATTTTTTTTTGTTCATAATTTTTTTAAATTAAATTATCTGTGTACATATTTTAACACTGCCCCCCCCACACACACACACATACATACCCTCCCTCCCCAGAGTTTTGTGTCCATTGGTTGTACTTATATGCATGTATACAAGTCCTTCGGTTGATCTCTTATCTCCCCCAGATCTCCCTACCCTCCCCGCTGTAATTTGACAGTCTGCTTGTTGCTTTACTGTCTTTATATCTATCTTTTGGTTCATCAATTTATAATTTTCTTTATTATCCATAAATGAGTAAGGTCATGTGGTATTTCTCTTTCATTGACTGGCTTATTTCACTCAGCATGATGTTCTCCAATTCTATCCAGATTGCTGCAAATGATGAGAATTCCTTCTTTTTTATGGCAGCATAGATGTACCATAGTTTTTTGATCCAATCATCTGCTGACGGGCACCTAGGCTGTTTCCAAATTCTAGCTATTGTAGATTGTGCTGTTATGAACATAGGGGTGCATATATCCTTTCTGATTGGTGTTTCTATACATAAAAACTTTAAATTTAGTGCCTTTTAAAAAATTTCCTCTGCCTGAAATCAGATATCCTACATCAGCACAGGCTTGACAAAACTATTTCAATGTTTCCCTTACTTGACTTCCTATCACCAGTCTCTCTTACTTCTCTTTTACACTCTTCACAGTGCTACTAAAGTTATCTAAGTCTAATCTCACCATATTATTCTTTTCTATAAAAACTTTACATTGAGGAGGAAACCAAGATGGTGGCATAGGTAAACACCTAAACTGCTGCCTTGCACAACAATTTCAAAACTACAACTAAAAGACAAAAATGGACATCATCCAGAACCACAGGAAAGCTGGCTGAGTGGAAATTCTACAACTAGAAGGAAAGAGAAAAGCACACTGAGACTCAGAGGAACTGCAGAAGGTAAAGGTACTTCGTGTGCATGAAGAGGGTAGGCAATTGAGTAGGCAGCTGGCTTTCTCAAGCGGGAGGGAGACAAAAGCTCCCAACTGCGCTGAACTCCCAGACTCATTCGGGGAGAAACTGGACTGTTTGGCAGCAGGCAAAACTCAAGGATGGTTTTCTCTCAGAAGTGCTTGCAGCGATTACCATGGGACACTGAGACACAGGGGCCTTTTAGGGCAGGGCTGGTGGGGAAACCAAGACTGTCTGCTCTGCCCTGAGACTCCATTCCATCCAAGCTGAACACAGAGGCTTTTGTAAGTCTTGTCTCATAAGGGTGTCTCCAGCATAGAAGTTCTCCCAGCGTAGACACAGCTGATCCTCACAACCAACTGGCCTGGAGGTCAATTCCTCCCAGTGATACCAACAACAATAAAGGCTTAACTACAACAAGACTGTGCACACAGCCCACAAAGGAGTGCACCAAGAGTGTCCACCTCAGGTAACTAGGGAGGCTGAGCCCTATAGGACACCTCACACACAAAGCTACTCTATCAACTCAGGGAAGCAGCCAAAATGCGAAGACAAAGAAACATATCACAAATGAAAGAAATGGAGAAAAGCAAATGACTGGATAGAGTTCAAAACTACAGTTATAAGGTTTTTCAAGAATTTTCTAGAAAAGGCCAATAAATTTAGCGAGACCCTCGAGGATATGAAAAAAGAGCAACTATAAATTAAGCATACACTGACTGAAATAAAAAATATTATACAAAGATGTAACAGCAGACTTAGAGATTGCAAGAATCAAGTCAAACTTTTGAAATACAAAGAAACAAAAAACACCCACCTGGAAAAGCAAAAAGAAAAAAGGATCCAAAAATATGAAGATAGTGTAAGGAGCCTCTGGGACAACTTCAAGGGTACCAAAATCCAAATTATGAGGGTGCCAGAAGAAGAGAGAGAGAGAAAGATACTGAAAACCTATTTGAAGAAATAATGACTGAAAACTTTCCCCTCCTGGTGAAAGAAATAGACTTACAAGTCCAGAAAGTGCACAGAACACCAAACAAAAGGAATTCAAAGAGGAACACACCAAGACACATCATAGTTAAAACAAGAACAAAAGACAAAGAGAGAATATTAAAAGCAGCAAGAGAAAAACAGTTAATTACCTACCAGGGAGCACCCATACAACTGTCAGCTGATTTCTCAACAGAAACTATGCAGGCCAGAAGAGAGTGGCAAGAAATATTCAAAGTGATGAATAGCAAGAACCTATAACCAAGATTACTCTACCCAGCAAAGCTATCATTCAGAATTAAAAGTCATATAAAGAGCTTCACAGATAAGAAAAAGCTAAAAGAGTTCACCACCAAAACAGTATTATATGAAATGCTGAAATATATTCTTTAAGAAGAGGAAGAAGAAGAAAAAGGTAGATGAAAATTATGAACAACAAATACATCTATCAACAAGTGAATCTAAAAATCAAGTGAATTAAAAATCTGATAAACAAAATAAAGTGTTGAATATAATAGAATCAGGGGAGTGGACTGAAAATTCTCGGGGGTAAAGGGATGTGGGGGTGCAGGAAGAGACTGGACAAAAATCATACACCTATGGATGAGGAAAGTGGGGGTGGGGTGTAAGGGCAGAGGGTGGGGTGAGAACCGGATAGAGGGGAGCTATGGGTGAAAAAAGAGAAACCACTGTAGTAATCTGAACAATAAAGATTTATCAAATTAAAATAATAACAACTTTATACTAAAAATTAAAAAGAAAATGGCATAGCATGCCATGTGAAGCTTCCCACAGTCTATATCAAACATACCTTTCCAATTTCATCTCCACCTCATCTATACCAAAATATTTTTATCTACATCTGATTCTTTCTTACAGATCTGTGTGTTTGGCCCAACCCACTCCTTCTACTTTGAATGCCCTTTCCGGTTTCCTCTGCCCATTAAAAGCTTATTTGCCCTTTATAGCCAAGTTCAAAGCTCTCTGTCCATAAAGCCTTTCTCTGGAGTTATTAGCTACAGTTCGCTCTCCTTCCAGAAAACATTGTTCTCTCTCTCATGACTTTTATTTTTGTTTTTTGTGGTTATTTACCTAAATAACTGTTTTTAAAATTAAATTGTAAGACTGAGGAAAGAGGCAATATCTGTTCATTTGTATAAACACTATTGTCTAATGCACTGCTGCGCATAGAGTGAACATCTTGAATTGCTGTAGTATTAATTATTTTTGAATTTAAGCACTTTCTTGTCAGAAAAGCCCCAAGAGAACATGAATTTAAAAGCAGATAGATCAAATTGTTTGTGGTGGGATGAGGAGCCCACCCACACATCATAGGGAACTTCGAGTGGCAGAGGTGGTGACATAAAATGGGGCAGATGGAGAACTTGACTAAGAAAACAGATTTATAGGAACCTCTGAATGTGAACTCAGCAACCATAATTTGAAGTTTCATCATTCCCCTTGAACCCTTGCTGATATCCTGACATTTGTGGTCATTAGTGACCATTTTATTTTCCCCTTCCCTTAAAGTAAAAGCCAAATTCAGCATTTTCTCAAGTTGGTTTTTTAGGACCCTTGTCTGCCATCTTCTTTGCTTGCTGGCTTCCCAAATAAACTCACTTTTCTTGCCTTCCTTCCCCCCCCCCCCCGATAAATAAAAGCAGATCAAATGTAGCAATGAATTTTATGCCATGAAGTATTAGAAAACTTTTCAATGGATGTTTGCCTATTCACTAATGAATATCTATAGAGATTAATAAATAATAATAGCTTGGATCTGAAACATCCTAATACTTTCACCAATGAAGTTAAGAGAAGAAATTCTGCATAACCTACTATTTTACAACTATATAAATTACTTTTTATTCCTTAAGGCCTTACTCCACAAATTAAAAGAAAAGTCTTGTTAATTGAACACTTCTGCAAAGGTGCCTCAGTTAGGACTTTATCTTAAAATGTCCTTGGGACAAAAAGTACAAAGCATGGTCTCTGTTTTCTTAATATTTCTCATCTAATAGTGATGGCAAGGATAACTTGTCAAAGTTTATAAACATGAACAATCATAACACATCACCACTCACTTATTCGTTTTTCATCCAGCATAGGGCCAGGGGAATCCATATTAAGGAGTGCTTCAGCAGCCTCAATAGTTTCAATCGTTTCATCCCCATTATGACAGGAAGCTTCAACTATAATACATTGAAAGAAAAATAGAATTAGTGCAAGCTACCTGTTGCTTTAAAACCCCTAGGTTCCGATGTCTTGAACTAGGGTATATTCATTTAGTACTTGTGCTTATATATAATACTTACTTTATATCAACATATAAAATCTATATATGACTATTAAATACTTGTCTTTTTTTTTTTTTTTTTACATTTCACAGATGTAAAAAAAAAAAAAAAAGTCTGCAATATGTGAGGCTTTTGGGTAAAAGAAACAAGCCTTAGATGGGTGGCTCAGTTGGTTGGAGCATCATCCGATACCAAAATTGTTTCGAGTTCAATTCTTGGTCAGGGCACACCTGAGGTTACAGGTTTAGTCCCTGGTCAAGGCAAGTCTGGGAGGCAACCAATCAAAGTTTCTCTCTTGCCCAGCTGGTGTGGCTCATTGGTTGAGCATCAACCTATGAACCAGGAGGTCAAGGTTCAATTCCCAGTCAGTGTACATGTCCGGGTTGCAGGCTCGATCCACAATAAGGGACATGCAGAAGGCAGCTGATTGATGAGTTTCTCTCATCATTGATGTTTCTATCTCTCACTTACTCTCTGAAATCAATAAAAATATGTTTAAAATAAATAAATAAACAGTGGAAATTTTTTTAAAAGAATAAATAAGAGGGGCATTTGACTTGATTAGAAAGGGTTCAGGAGAACAGACAAAATCCCAGGTGTGCCACTAATCTAGTATGTAATCTAGTAAAATTTAATGTACAATAATCAAATTTATTTCAAACTTGATATGAAATAAATCAATGATAAAAATAAAAGTATTTTGATAAACATTAACATTTTAAATCAAGTGTTATAAACAGCTGCAATCATTTAACATCAGGTTCAAACCCATAAAAAATAATTTTTTATTATTGAAAATTTCAACCAAAATCAAAATTATGGACTATAATATAATGAATTCTCACATACTCATTCTTAGCATCAATCATTATCAACATATGGTCAATCTTCTTTCATCTTTAGCTACTCACTGCCCTCAAGGTTTAATTTGAAGGAATCCAAGACACCATATTTTATCTCTAAATATTTTAATATACATATCTAAAAGATACATATTCAAATCCAATGCTGTTATCATATTTTAAATACTAACAGTAAATATTAAAAATAATTCTTTAGCAGAAACCGGTTTGGCTCAATGGATAGAGCATCGGCTTGGGGACTGAAAGGTCCCGGGTTCGATTCCTGTCAAGGGCATGTACCTTAGTTGTGGGCATATCCCCAGTAGGGGGTGTGCAAGAGGCAGCTGATTGATGACTCTCTCATCGATGTTTCTAACTCTCTATCTCTCTCCCTTCCTCTCTGTACAAAATCAATAAAAAATATTTTTTTTTAAAATAATAATTCTTTAATATAGTCTGCAGTGCTATCTAGGATTCAACATGTATAGTTTATAAAGTGTTCTATTCCCATTTCTCTCTTCTCCCGTTGTGTTTCTATTGTAAAATACAGTACTCTTCCCTCTCCCACTCTGGACTAAGAAGGATTACTACAAGGTTCTTTGCTTTCTTAAGACATTGCTCAAACAAGGATGGAAAAGTTAAACAAAGCTGGAAAGTAAGAAAGTTAAGGGAGATGAAATATGCAAAATGCCAATCTGTTTTTCAAGATCTGTTTTGATTTATAGATCCATTTCATACCAGTTCTATTTTCCAGGAAGGAAGCAACCTATCTGTATCTCATCATCAGCTATCTTCAAGTCTAAGCCTAATAGAATGAAGCACTAAAAGGAAGAAGCACTTCCTTCTGCTTTCCTAGGCTCTATTTCTTCTTTGAGGACTAACATCTTTCCTGATGACTAAAATCAGGAAGACCTTAGTTCAAAATCTACAGAGAGTAAGTACCATGTTTCCCCGAAAATAAGACATCCTCCGAAAATAAGACCTAGCGCATGGAAAAATAAGACATCCCTTGAAAATAAAACTTAGCTCAACTTTGGGAGAAAAAATTAATATAAGACACTGTCTTATTTTCGGGGAAACAGGGTAGTATAGCCTTCCCTTAAGACAGTGGTTCTCAACCTTTCTAATGCTGCGACCCTTTAATACAGTTCCTCATGTTGTGGTGACCCCCAAGCATAAAATTTTTGTTGCTACTTCATAACAGGTTGAAAACCGCTGTTGTAAGAGTCTAAGACCATCAGAAAACACAGATATTTACATTACGATTCATTAATAGTAGCAAAATTACAGTTATGAAGTAGCAACAAAAATAATTTTATGGTTGGGAGTCACCACAACATGAGGAAATGTATTAAAGGGTTGTGGCATTAGAAAGGTTGAAAACAACTGCCTTAATACATCAATAATTCAGAATACACTGCAAAAATGTCACTAGCTACACATGCATAGTGGTGGTCATTCAGTTATATAAAACCGATAGATCACAGCCAACAATGAATAGAAACCTCTAACCTGATAAACATAATTCCCTTATCCATAAGGGAGAAACAAATTTAGATTTATCAAAAAACTTCACTGGGTTTCTCTAAACAAAAAATATGAATATAGAAGAACATGCTTTATACAAATAGACAAATTAAGTGCTGTTCATCAATGGGGCTCAGTCACTTGGCCGGTGACTTTAGACAAATCATGTCATTTAACCTCTCTCATTTCAGTTTTTTTTCTGTTGTGAGAATTAATTGAGACAGTGTGTTTTTTAATCAATCATGTTAATACTAGAGGCCCGATGCATGAAATTCATGCAAGGTCCTTGGCACCTGCCCACCAAGGCTTTATCCAGAAGGTCTTCCAGAAGAATATCTGACTAATTAGCATATTACACTTTTATTATTATAGACTAGAGGCCTGGTGCACGAAATTCGTGCATGGGGACGGGGGGGCGGGGGGTGATGTCCCTCAGTCCAGCCTTCACCTGTTCCAATCTGGGACATCCCTCTCACAATCTAGGACTGCTGGCTCCCAACTGCTTGCCTGCCTGCCTGTCTGATTGTCCCTAACCACGTCTGCCTGCCAGCGTGATCACCCCCTAACCACTCTAATGTCAGCCTGATCAATGCCTAACAGCTCCCCTGCTAGCCCAATATCCCCTTACTGCCCTCTCCTGCAGGCCTGGTTGCCCCTAACTGCTCTCTCCTGCAGGCCTGCCCCCCCCCCCTCCCGCCAACTGCCTTTCCATGCAGGCACGGTCACCCCCAACTTCCCTCCTTTGCCAGTCTGGTCACCCCTAACTTCCCTCCCCTGCAGGTTTGATCGCCCCCAACTGCCCTGCCTTGCAGGTCTGGTCCCTCCCACCTGCCCTCCCCTGCTGGCCATCTTGTGATGGCCATCTTTGACCACATGGGGGCAGCCATCTTGTGTGTTGGGGTGATGGTCAATTTGCATATTGCTCTTTAATTAGATAGGATGACACATTGAGGAGACAATGCCATTTTGTTAATATTGTTGCCCAAAATACATTTATCTCATTCCAATGAAAACACATCACACAAAATTAAGAGATATTTTACAATGTCTAACCACTTTTCCTCAAAAATGTCAATGTTATAAAAGACAGAGGAAATCCTTACAGACGGAAAGAGACAGAGAAGAAATAACTAAATTCAGTATGAATTCTGGAACATAGGATCCTGGAACAGGAAAAGGACATTAGTATGAAGTGGGTAAAATACTGATAGATCTAGATTTAATTAATAATATTGTGACTAAGTTAATTTTGTTGTTTTAAATTTAAGAATACTTAAAATAACTTTTGCTTCTAAATAATTGATTTTCTAGCCGAGACCGGTTTGGTTCAATGGATAGAGCGTCGGCTTGTGGACTGAAGGGTCCCGGGTTCAATTCTGGTCAAGAGCATGTACCTTGGTTGTGGGCATAAGCCCAGTAGGGGGTGTGCAAGAGGCAGTTGATCGATGACTCTCTCTCATCAATGTTTCTAACTCTATATCTCTCTCCCTTCCTCTCTGTACAAAATCAATAAATAATTGATTTTCTCAAATACTTCCAACATCTCTGCATGTAAATGTATAATAATAATACCAGTGAATGCACTGATTTCTAAAACTGAAGAAAATAGCACTAGCATAGTAAACTCTTCAAATTTGAAAAGTCCTCCTAGTTCTGACTGAATCAGAAGAGGAATCTTCTTTAGTAAACCTCAGCACCTTATACTACATTTGGATCATGGCCTCCTATTTTGCTTTATGTGATGGCAATAAAAAACAAAAGAAAACAAAACTTTCCTTTTTCTCTACTAACAACTTCTCACTGTTATCAGGAATATAGAGCTAGGTACATAAGTGCTCAGGGAAGACTTGATGAATTGATTTGGTTTGGTTACTCTTGCATGTATTCTTATTTTGTCACATTCTTCTCAATATACTTAGGGAAGAAAGGAGAGGTGAGAAAGCACTAAGAAACATAGGCAGATGAGAAAGAAAAGGTTAATTTATTTTTCTCTGCAGGGCTCTAGCTTCTGCAGGTAATAGTTATTCAAACCAAGTTAGGAACCTGAATGTCCCCCAAATTATAGGGCTTGGGCATTGCCTAAAACTAGGCTGAAGTAAGGGGCTGCTGGAGGCACACACACCTACCTGTAAGGGTGATGTTGTCATCATCATCATCATCTATGATTTCTTCTTCAGCAACATCTAGGGAGCTCTCAGTAATCATGTCATTGGGCTCTTCCACACAAGCTAGACCTGCATAACTATTGAGAATATCAGCACCAGGAACATGCTCCACAATTACGGCAGGAAAAATAGCTGCATCACCAAGCTGGGAGAGGTGAGGAGAAAAAGGGATCAATAAAAATTTTCTTTTGTTAAATATAACCAAAAATTATTTACATTTTACAGGGCATGATTTAGTTTTTACATCATCAATACTTGTACTTGACAATCCTTCTAGGCTGCTGTGAATATTAAGACCACATAATTTTCATTATTAATCTTGAGTCTTAACAACCAAGTTTTCATAGGAAAAGTATATTTTTAAACCATATTAAATTTACCAATATCATTAATGCCTGAGAAGTTGCATACAAATGTCTGATGAAATAAATTCTCAACAAAAGGTTCTTTAAAGAAAAATATCTGTGAGTTTAAATAAACACTAGAGGCACAGTGCATGAAATTTGTGCATGGGGGGGGGGATGTCCCTCAGTCCAGCCTGTACCCTCTCCAATCTGGGATCCCTCTCACAATCCAGGATTACAGGCTCTCAACCACTTGTCTGCCTGTCTGCCTACCTGATTGTCCCTAACCGCTTCTGCCTGCCAGCCTGATCGCCCCCTAACCACTACCCTGCCAGCCTGACTGATGCCTAACTGGTCCCCTGCTAGCCAGACTGCCCCCAATTGCCCTTCCCTGCTGGCCTGGTAACCCCTAACTGTCCTCCCCTGCAAGTTTGGTCGCCCCCAACTGCCTTCCCTGCAAGCCTGGACCCTCCCAACTGCCTTCCCCTGCTGGCCATCTTGTGGTGGCCATCTTGTGTCCACATGGGGGCAGCCATCTTATGTCCACATGGAGGCAGCCATTTTCTGTGTTGGAGTGATGGTCAATCTGCATATTACTCTTTTATTAGATAGGAGGATTACACTGTCACTTGCACACAGGTTGTGTTTAACAACCGCTTTTGACTCAAATGGGAAAATTAACTTTCATTTTATTTCTAGTTATAAGATCTTAAAATTTTAGAACTGAAAGGACTCTTAAGTATAATCTAGTCCAAGTCACCTCATTTTACAGATGAGGAAGCTGACCCAGAGAGAATTTTGAAAAACCTTCTCAAAAATCAGTTGTTTATGAAAGAATTCAATGTTGAAAGTGAAAAAACTTTTTTGAATATATTGATATAAAATATACATGAATCATAATGTAATAATGAGGGCTGTCTATAAAATAATTACTTTTCAAATATAGTAAAAATGCTTTGATATTTATCAATTCTTTTTATATTGTTTTATCTGTCATTTTATAATGGTATTATTCATTTGCTACAGTTTCATATTAACATTTCTCTACAAATCATCATCCTCCAAACCACTGATATTCAATAAACTTATTTATTTATTTATTTTATTTTTTTGCTGTATCACTTTATTTTTTCCCCATTTTTTTATTAAGGTATTATATGTGTATATATTTTACCATTGCTTCCCCCACACTCCACTCACATTCATGCCCTCACCCCCCAGCGTTTTGTGTCCATTGGTTATGCTTATATAAATAAACTTATTGATACAAAAAAATCAATTAATTAGTGACAAATCTCATTAAGTTACTATCTCCTTTTTAAAAACAATTTCAGGCTTAAAAAGGTTCTAAAAGTAGAAAAAAGAATTCCCCTACAAACTTCATCCACATTCCCTGAATTTTTAACACTTAATCGTGTCTATCATTCTTTCAATATTATTATTTCTGCATATATATATATTTTTTTTTTAATTAGATTTTTTACAGAGAGGAAGAGAGAGGGATAGAGAGTTAGAAACATAGATGAGAAAGAATCATCGATCAACTGCCTCTTGCACACCCCCTACTGGGGATGTGCCCAAAACCAAGGTACATGTCCTTGATGGGAATCGAACCTGGGACCTTTCAGTCTGCAGGCTAACGCTCTATCCACTGAGCCAAACCAGTATTGGCTACATCTATATTTTTAATGATTTATTTGAAGTGGTAGACATTTTGGTCCTTTAACTAAATATTATATTTCAGGGTATGTTTCCTAAAAACATGAATATTATCTTATATAAAGATAGCACAATGATCAAAATCAGAAAAGTAATAGCGATATAGTACTATTATTAAATCCACAAGCCTTATGCAAATTTCTGCAAGTGTCTCATTAATGTCCTTTTTTAAAAATGAAAAAAAAATATTTTTGGTTCAGGATCCAATCTAGGATCATAGGTTTCATAATGCTTATGACAACTCTTTTTTTTTTTTTAATCTTTATTGTTGAAAGTATTACATATGTCCCCTTTTTCCCCTCACCAGTCCCCTCTCTTCAGCCCACCCCCACTACCCCACCCCAGGCCCTCACCAACCCATTGTCTGTGTCCATGGGTTAAGCATATATGCATACAAGGTATGACAACTCTTTTAATATGGAAAAATTTCTATGCATTTCATCTAGAGCAGTTCTTCAGTTTTTCTTTCTTTCATGCTCTTGAGACTTCTAAAAAATGTTTTTTATTGACTTCATAGAGAAAAGGAGAGGGAGAAAGAGATAGACACATCAATGATGAAAGAGAATCATCGATCAGCTGCCTCCTGCTTGCCCCCTACTAGGGATAAAGCCCATTAACCTGGCATGTATTGCTGACCTGGAATTGAACCGTGACCTCCTGGTTCATAGGTCAACATTCAACCACTGAGCCATACCAGCTGGGTGCTTTTGAGACTTGAAAAATACAGGTAATTTGTTTTGTAAAATGTCCCCCAATTTGGGTTTGTGAGATATTAACTAATGATTACATTATTTGCATTTTTTGGCAAGAATGCCAAAGAAGTAATGTGTTCTTTCTGATACATCATACCAGAAAGTTCAAACCAGCTATTTGTCCCATTACCGGGGACATTAACTTTGAACACTTAGTTAGGGTGATGTCTACCAGGTTTATCCACTATGAAGTTATTATTTTCTGCTTTGTAATTAAGAATCTTAAGAGAAAATAGCTCAAGAGTATGGATGTAATTATCCTGTTTCTTAAACATATCCCCATAAAGTATTATCTTCTTAAATGTAAGAAAAAGTTACTGCCCATAGATAATTTCAGGTACTTTGCTATTTTCCTTGAGTAAGTCTGCTATATTAAGAGTGCTATTTATGGCTTCATTGTAACTAAGCAGCCTCAATTTTTAAAAAAAAATTTGTTTGTAGCACTGTACATTGAGGTTACTATTTCATCAATTATAAAAAGTTAATTGCTTAAATTTATTACATGATTAGTGTAGGTGCTAAACAGATATTATTAGTGCTTCCTTGAATGCTATACTCTGAAATTTATAGGTAATAACCCTAAAACATATTAGGATCATTTTATTTCAAAATGTTTCTTCCTATTTCAGAAAAGAGGAAGTTAGAATTAAACTGGCTCTCAAAATCGTAAGTTTTAAACAAAAAGTACCTCAAAGATTACACTGTAACACACACACACACACACACACACACACACACACACACACACACACAGTAAAGTATCACATAAAGTGTCCAAAGCATAGTTGATTCTGGCCTTCCCTTTCTCTTTTTTGAGAGTCAAAAACTGAACATGCAATACAACCTAGTACGAACAGCATGCGATTGTTAACACACACCTCTTAATAGTTCAAGTTAAGCTCCTAATATTCTAACAAAGCTGAACCTAGAATTGAGTTAATTTTTACATGACTTCAATTACATGGCACAAAACCCTATGTGCCAGGTAAGAATAGGGCTTACCATTTCCATCTATTGGCAGGTGAGAACTTAGGTTAAGAAATTCACCTAGGATCACCCACTAAGTCAGACACACACAGATGCAATTCACAGGAGCAGTTCTCACCTAAATGAAAGCAAAGTATTCCTCCTTACCCAAATCTAATTGGCCCCTGAAATTTGGGTTAAGTGTAAAGAGTGTGGCTATCACATAGCATAGCTCCAAAATTTTATCTGAATCTATGTAGTTTCAAATAACTACAGATATTTGCTACTACATTCCTCCTGATCCTACTCCACTAATCTAGAAGTGAACTGGAGAAATTGCTTATCCTCCTGAATTAATAGGTCTCAGGAGCCCCTTGTCACATACCTTTATACTCAAAGCCACTTCTCTTCCACTATTTGTGTCCCTTCCCAGAGGAAGCCACTGTTACATTTTTGTTCCATCAGAGAGACAGTATAATCAACCATATACTAATTTGCTTTAAACCACATGTGTCAAACACAAGGCCCGGGGGCCAAATCCGTCCCGCCAGGCCTTGCAATGTGGCCCGCACCGCGCTGTCATCCCTGCACTCCGCTGCGTTTCCATCACAATGACAGTTTATGACTGTTCAGTAAACCATTCGGCCCGCGATTTAGGCTGGATTTTAGATTTTGGCCCCTTCTCTGATTGAGTTCAACACCCCTACTTTAAACAATCATTTTTTCCCCATTTATATAATAATTTAAAGCTATTTAAAGAAAAATGTCAAACACACAAAAGTAGAGAAAAAAATAGTTTCCTTTGAAACAAAGGCTTAATTAAAACTGAATCCAGCCTAGCTGTTTGATTCAGTGAATAGAGCACTGGCCTGTGGATTCAAAAGTCTTAGGTTCGATTCCAATCAATGGCACATGCCTGCATTGCGGGCTCAGTCACCAGTAGAGGGAATGCAGGAGGCAGTAGTTCTCTCTCAGTGATGTTCCTATTTCTCTCGCCATCTCTAAAATCAATAAAAATATATACTATATTTTTTAAAATGAGTCCAGCCCTAGCAGGTTGGGCTCTGTGGTCAGAGCATCAGCCCTAGGACTGAAGGGTCGTGGGTTAGATTCTGACCAAGGGCATGTACCTGGGCTTCAGGCTCAATCCCCAGCCCTGGTTGGGGAATGTGCAGGAGGCAACCAATCGATGTGTCTCTCTGTCTCTTCCCTTTCCTTCCACTCTATCTAAATATCAATAGAAAGCCAGGCCAGTGTGCTCAGTGGTTGAGTGGTGACCAATACATGAATCAAGAGGTTACCAATTTGATTCTGAGTCAGGGTACAAGCCTGGGTTGTGGGCTCAATCCCCAGTAGGGCTTGTG